AGTCGAGATACCTCTGTTTATATCCTATGTTCCTGTTACATTTCCAAGTTTTCGGTCCAAGTTTTGCCACTCCGATAGATGGCAGCACTCGCGTATAGAAAAGAACAGCAACGTCACGTGACAAGGATACGTGTACTTTTCTGTCCAATTCATTGAATATTTATTAATTATTCGATTTCTAGGAGGAAATTTGGCACTTTTGGGATGGTGGAAGGAAAACCAGACTACAAGTGTCTTTCACATATAGTTTCGTATCTGAATTGTTGCTCAAACTAACAGTTATTAATGATTATTGCACGGCTATCCGTCGTGCTACGTTACTACGGAGAACCGACGCGATGAATTTTCGTATAATTTGGATTAATATTAAATTAATAAATAATCTTTGTACATGAAACAGACAGTATAGAGTCTAAGGAAGCTTCTACGATTCCAAATAACGAGCTTTAATCTTACAAGAGCTCATTACTAATGAAAAACCGTGGTCGTGCATATTATAGTCACGCGTGGACCCAGGCACTTGTTGAAAGAATTGTTTATAACTAATTAGTTGAACAAAAAATTGTATCAAAAACTGTATAGGAATGTTGCTTGAGGTCTGCACTTTATTCTTTTATCCTAATGGTGTACGAATTGTTTCTGATAATTGAATAATTGGCGAATATTTAACAGATTAGAGAGAGAAATATGTCTGTCCTTGTCGGTTGATAGTGCCCTCCTTCTCTGCCTACGTCACGTATGTCTGTCCTTTTTGCACAGTATTGCGTTTCTTGTCTAACAGTAGTCGAGATACCTCTGTTTATATCCTATGTTCCTGTTACATTTCCAAGTTTTCGGTCCAAGTTTTGCCACTCCGATAGATGGCAGCACTGGAGTATAGAAAAGAACAGCAGCGTCACGTGACAAGGATACGTGTACTTTTCTGTCCAATTCATTGAATATTTATTAATTGTTCGATTTCTAGAGGGAGATTATGCACATTTGGGATCGTGGAAGAAAAACCAGACTACAAGCGACATTCACATATAGTTTTGTATCAGAATTGTTGCTTAAATTAACAGTTGTTAATGATTATTGCACGACAATCCGCTGTGCTGCTTTACCACGGAGAATCGACGCGATAAATTTTCGCATAATTTGGATTAACAGACGGTTAATTAATAATATTTGTACAGAGAATAGAGAGTAGGGAGTCTAAGGAAGCTTCCACGATTCCAAATAACGAGTTTTAATGTTGCAAGAGCTCATTACGAATGACAGATCGTCGTCATGCATATTACAGTCACGCGTAGGCCTAGGCACTTGATGAAACAAAAGGTTCATAAATAATTAATGAAACAAAAAATCGCATCAAAAACTGAATAGGAATGTTGCTTGAGATCTGCACGTTATTCTTTTATCTCAAAGATGCACGAATTGTTCCTGAAAATCGAGTAATTAGCGAATAATCAACGGATTAGAGAGAGAAATATGTCTGTCCTTGTCGTTCGATAGAGCCCTCCTTCTCTGCCTACGTCACGTATGTCTGTCCTTTTTGTACATTATTGCGCTTCTTGTCTAACAGTAGTCGAGATACCTCTGTTTATATTCTATGTTCCTGTTACATTTCCAAGTTTTCGGTACAAGTTTTGCCACTCCGATAGATGGCAGCACTCGAGTATAGAAAAGAACAGCAGCGTCACGTGACAAGGATACGTGTACTTTTCTGGGCAATTCATTGAATATTTATTTATTATTCGATTTCTGAGAGGAAATTAGGCACTTTTGGGATGGTGGGAGGAAAACCAGACTACAAGTGTCTTTCACATATAGTTTCGTATCCGAATTGTTGCTCAAACTAACAGTTATTAATGATTATTGCACGGCTATCCGTCGTGCTACGTTACTACGGAGAACCGACGCGATGAATTTTCGTATAATTTGGATTAATATAAAATTAATAAATAATCTTTGTACATGAAACAGACAGTATAGAGTCTAAGGAAGCTTCTTCGATTCCAAATAACGAGCTTTAATCTTGCAAGAGCTCATTACTAATGAAAAACCGTGGTCGTGCTTATTACAGTCACGCGTGGACCCAGGCACTTGTTGAAAGAATTGTTTATAACTAATTAGTTGAACAAAAAATTGTATCAAAAATTGTATAGGAATGTTGCTTGAGGTCTGCACTTTATTCTTTTATCCTGAAGGTGTACGAATTGTTTCTGATAATTGAATAATTAGCGAATATTCAACAGATTAGAGAGAGAAACATGTCTGTCCTTGTCGGTTGGTAGTGCCCTCCTTCTCTGCCTACGTCACGTATGTCTGTCCTTTTTGCACAGTATTGCGCTTCTTGTCTAACAGTAGTCGAGATACCTCTGTTTATATCCTATGTTCCTGTTACATTTCCAAGTTTTCGGTCCAAGTTTTGCCACTCCGATAGATGGCAGCACTCGCGTATAGAAAAGAACAGCAACGTCACGTGACAAGGATACGTGTACTTTTCTGTCCAATTCATTGAATATTTATTAATTATTCGATTTCTAGGAGGAAATTTGGCACTTTTGGGATCGTGGAAGGAAAACCAGACTACAAGTGTCTTTCACATATAGTTTTGTATCCGAATTGTTGCTCAAATTAACAGTTATTAATGATTATTTCACGGCTATCCATCGTGCTACGTTACTACGGAAAATCGACGCGGTCAATTTTCGTATAATTTGGATTAATAAATAATTGATCAATAATCTTTGTACATGAAATAGGGAGTATAGAGTCTAAGGAAGCTTTCACGATCCCAAATAACGAGCTTTAATCTTGCAAGAGCTCATTACTAATGAAAAACCGTGGTCGTGCTTATTACAGTCACGCGTAGATCCAGGCACTTGTTGAAATAATTGTTTATAACTAATTAGTTAAACAAAAAATTGTATCAAATACTGTATAGGAATGTTGCTTGAGATCTGCACTTTATTCTTTTATCTCAAAGGTGCACAAATTGTTTCTGATAATCGAGTAATTAACGAATATTCAACGGATTAGAGAGAGAAATATGTCTGTCCTTGTCGTTCGATAGTGCCCTCCTTCTCTGCCACGTCACGTCTATCTGTCCTTTTTGCACAGTATTGCGCTTCTTGTCTCACAGTAGTCGAGATACCTCTGCTTATATTCTATGTTCCTGTTACATTTCTAGTATTTCTTGGTTCAGGCCGGTAGATGGCAGCACATGATTGTAGAAAAGAACAGCATCATCGTATGACAAAGAGGGATATATATTTACACATACAGATTTCAGTAGTGTGCAAGAAGGACATATTTATACGTATGTCTATCTCAAGCAAGGAGCACAGTATTGTGCAACAAGAATTGCTCTTTCGTTTAACCTAAGAAAAAATCCATTAATTACTTCTTTTCAACAAAATTGGCACGCTTTGGGGATTGTCTGACAATAATTGAATTCCAAGCAACTTAGCTTTTTACAGGTAATTTAGTCTTTTCATTTTATTTGGTAATTTACAGTTTCATTGATTGATTATTAGCAAATTATACTTGTGCATATTTATATTTTTAGATAGGTATTATAACAACCGAATCTAAATGGATAATATATATTAAATATTTACTGCAACAAGTATTCTGTTGCAAATATTTCATATATATTTCTGCGTATTATGTGCGTATTATGGTCGTGTGAAAATTCGTTGTATCGGTCTTGTATAGTAACGTTACGTTTTGTCAGTAAGAAATTGTTAATTGTTTAATCCAAAATTTGAGAATTGTTCAAAATCTGTTCTTTATTATATAATTCTTCGAATATTTGCAAATGTCTCTCGAAAATGAGGAAATTAAATAGTTTTTTGCAATTTCGTTTTATATATATTATACAGTGAAATATCGGTTGTATAAAGAATTTAACGTTTCATCATTGAGATGGTTTCATTCATTATTTGTGTGAGAGAACAGTTGTAACCTCGGTTATCGACGTTCACACGGGTGTTATCGGTAAATTGTACTTACCACTGCGTCTCGTTTCTTGTGATAAATTTTCTACTAAATTTACCTGAAATCTAGTGGGAAAACTGATGATTAATTAACATTTCCATTTTAGAATTTGTTTCTTGCCAAGTCGCAATTTTTCACGAAGAGCATCCTCCTCTGAGTAAATCCTTCGTAATATACTTGTAAAAAAGAAACAATCAGAAGACTCGACCAGAAAAATCAATCGGTACCATGAGAAGTATGTTTTTTTTTTTTAATATTTAATTATTATCGGACCGAAAGCTGGTATCGCGGTACAGTAACGGTTGGACGATTCTGTTAGTACTATATATCAACGTGTTATATAGGTTTTTGCAGGAGTGCAGAAAAACGAATGATGGTGATGTCGAGGGATGAGGACATCGAGGTGCTGCTTTCAAGCATATAGATTTAGCCTCGAGTAGAGTAGCGCCGCTTTAATCGGCCACGGGTCGGTATGAGACGTTATTCATCTGGTTAAATGAAATCTCAAGTATCTCTTTTATCAATGGAAAATGAATGAAATGCGAATATATGTACATACACAAGTTTATGATACATTTGTTTATTTTAGATATATACACACACACATGTACAAAGCTAGAAGCACGGTTCATGAAGCAGGAAAACGGGGATAGCGATGGCTAGTTAACGAGGCAAAACCCCAGCCAATTAATGCGGCACTATTACGCTAACACATCTGTTAACAATGGAATAGAAGATCCTTTGAATTTCTGGGACACGCGAAAAAAAGCCGCCCATTGTCTGGAATTTCCCTATTTGTAATTCTTACAGTGTTTCACATCGGCGAACGTTGCGTTTATCGATTGCTTTATCGTGTCTCGCGTTCTTCGTGCATTCAGAAACGTAAAGAGTTTCGTGGATAATTATGAAACTCATCTATCAATCGTTTATTATTTATCTTGTCAATTAGATTACGAATCGCTGTTTCTAGAAAGTCTGAATTTGTTTCTTGTACATTTATTTTTATATTCGTTGATATAGCAATGAGAAAGCTAGATTAAGAATTTTTCATATCTGAAAGCTTCGGAGTTTTCAAACGTAATTTTTTTAATACAAGTAATGAAATTACTCGAAAATTTGAAAGGAATAAAGGGTCAAATATCCATTGTTAGTAGGTGTACGTACATGCATCACTATCCCTGCACACTTACGTCATAGTTACCCTGTGTGCAGACCGGTGCACCCTTACCACGTAAAGCGCTGCAGCAGCAGCAGCAGCGGCGGCGGCGGCGGCGGCGGCGGCGGCAGCGGCAGCAGCAGCAGCAGCAGCAGCAGCCCGTCCTCCTTTCTTCGTGTACATATCATTCTTAGTGGAGGGGATGAGATTGGTGGCATTTCAGTGACGTCAGAGTCGATCGTCAGGCGCAAACTGGGGGTTTGCGCCCACCATACTACGTCAGAATGACGAGCCGATAAACTACCCCATCAGGGTTTTCTGCGGCGGGCGGGCCAACGGTCTTAGGGTAAACATTCTTTCTTTCTGCCTGTGTTTCAAGTAGTTGTTTGCACGCTGTACTCTTGGCTTGATATTTTGTTAAACAGTGATTTAACATCGATAGTGAAATAACCGTGAACGGGGGGGAAAAAAAGAGAAATGAAGGAGGAGCGGACACAAAGGTGGTGGTCGGTGAAGCACGTTCTGGATTCTGGTTTCCAGGTGGCCGCCGTTGGTTTGGCCGACGATGGCGAACTCGGCGGGGACAACGGTCGACGGTATCGACGTCGGCGAGAATGACGGCACGACAGGTGTAACCGGTGGCGGGCCTAGGAATCCCCTCATCTGCGGCGTCTGCCACGACTATTACAACGAGCCCTGTCTGCTGTCCTGCTTTCACACCTTTTGTGCCCGCTGCATCCGCGGCCCTCATCTTGAGGGAAAGGTCTCCTGTCCCATCTGCGGGTAGATAACAACGACTGTTATTGCATGGCGTCCTTAGGGTGGGTGACGATCCCAGGTCTGGGTTAGGTTCGGTTACTATGTGCATGTTATTACGTTTCCTACTAGTTCAACTGTCTCTCTGTTAATTCTACGCCCTAGTACAACGACAAAGTTTCTTATGGATGATCTCTTTTTGCTATTATACTTTACCTTGGCTTTGTACACCTTATTCTGTTTGTCTTAAATTTAAAGAATGAAACATCCTACCTGTTTTTGTGACTGTGGTATAAAACATATAGGTGCAATAGTTTCTGCTTGATGACCACTGAGAGATGTGTAAAATTTATTTTTATCATTTGTAAATTGTCTTTGTTTTGCAGATACTCGTTTGAATTTATCCCTTTGTTACTTATTATTATTATTATTAGCATCTCTATTTCATTGTCTAACAATATTTTGAAATTTGTCTCTGTTTATATACGACTTCTATTATATTCGTAAGAATATCATTTTGCAAGAGTCAATGTATCTTTTCTATCACTGTTGGAACTTTCTGTCAACTTAAAATACATTACTGCTCATAGGCAACAAACGCAGCTGAAAGATGGAGCGCAACTACCACCGCCCGATCAGCTGATACGTCAACTGGTTGAATTGGCAAACTCTGAGAATCCACCATGTGCCAACTGTGATAAACGTGACAAGTCTACTATGTTTTTTTGTACAACATGTGGTAGGTAGCAAGCAGTGATAAATACAATGATAATTTCATGCATTGCTATCTCGCGCATTGAAAAGGTAATATCATCTGCTATAAGAATCTGTATTTTTAAATGTAGGCCAAGCACTGTGTACACACTGCAGAGAGCACACCCACCGTGCAAAGATGTTCTCTACGCACGAAGTGCTGCATATGAGCAAATGCGCCAAGGATACCCAACGACGTTGCCCGACCCATGGGGAACAGTATATAATGTATAGTCAAAGTGCCAAGTGCATGCTCTGCGCTACTTGTTTTCGTGACACTCCTGCAGATGCGAGGCTTCACTGTGTCGACATTGAAAGTGCCTGGCAGCAGGCTTCGAAGAAGATGGAAAGGGCTGTTAATTCTATCTGTGAGCTGCAAGCTGGCGTGCGGGATGGGGTGTTAGCTTTAAAGTCGCAACTGGACGAGCTACGACATAGTTTGGATTCCGAAAAGAGGGCGTTGAATTCCTTCTGTCAAGGAATGCAGGAGGCCATAACGAAGACGCACGGGAGTGCTTTAACGGAATTGCAACGACAGTTCGAAACGAAGGAGAGGATGGTTCGCAGCCAATTGCTTTCGCTAGGTAGCGCACTTCCTGTGCTGCAAATGCATTTAATGCTGTGCACCGCGTTCACCAGCGGCGCGACGAAATATCAGTTTCTCGAACTAGCCCATCCTATGTTGGAACGACTAAGTCGAGTCGCACAATTAGGATATCCATCAAGACCGCCTTTATTGACCGCGCATTTGAAGTCCAACTATAAGAACGAATTCGCTCGTGCGTTGCAACCGTACGTTGGTCAGACACAAACCCAAAAGGAATCGTTATACGATCAGACTCAAACGATGGCTCAACAGGATCCGCCAGTGATTCAGGTACCTAGATGCATTTACACTGGCCACCTGTCGAATTACGAATTCCATCTTTACGTTCATATTACAAGTTTCTTTTTCATTGCATTTCTCGCGCACAATTCTGTGTAAGTATTTTTGTTTACAGGATTTTACTCGATATATGATGTGGCTTGTACTTAATGGTGGTAGTTAGTAGCCAGATTAGAATACAGTCATTCTTGTAGCAAATTGACTGTTCTCGGCAGACGTGAAAACGTTTCGTTTCTTGTTAGTTTCTTAGCCGATGATGTGGTAGTCAGTATCAGACAGTTTATTCAGACTCGTATATACCTATATACACGTCTGACGGTCTAGGAGAGAACGGCCAGCGTTTACGTAAGATGTTTCTTTTGCAAGCAGAGCAGCAAGTCTGCTCAGAGGATTGCGGGGCCCAAGAGCGGGACCGACGGTGGACCGTTTTCCAGTCACTGCCGAACATTTGATACTCAGCTGAAGGAATTGAATCAACAGTTGCTCACTGTAAAGGAACGTTTAGGGGAGTTGCACCGCGATGTGGCATTTCTGAGAAGAGCTAACACACCTCCCTTGGGCACGCGTTACGAACAGGTGGCGAGGGATTGTCGGGTGCTGGAACAACAATTAGAACACTATCAGATGGAACTGGAACGTCTTAGAAACGTGTTCGACACACTTTGGGACGAACAGTTATGTAGAATTCACATAGAAAAAGAAATATTTCATTCTCAGGTATATTTATTTAGATTTGATCGTCGATGAAATTCCAACGTCTTGAGATCGATGCATCGATTAACGTGTCCTCTGTCCGTTTAGATGAACGATATCCTATCGTTGAGAAGTCAGGTAAAACAATTGCAGAATCTTGCTCAACAATTAGAACCGTTCATAAAATCTTTCGCAACTGGGGTTAATGCTGGCGAAGTGAGCATGACAGCCTCCGATGTAGCCAGTAATCAGCATTTGCAGATGTTACTGGACCACTTGGCACGTTTACAAACGCAGGAGCCACCGCAACCGCAAACTCAAGCCCCGACGAAGGATCACCGACATTCGCGTACTACCACCAGTGCGGATAACGCGCTTTATATGAAAGGTATCTAGAATCAATCTCAATATATACCCCAGTTCCGCTAAGATTACGCTACATAAATTATTTTAATTTAGAAACGAAGGAGGTACCGACACGTTGTCGCACCCCTTCTGGTGTTGGGGCTGTCCTGGATTCGAGCGGAAACATCGTTGTGTACGGGACGGCTAAATCTTCGGATCCGAAAAGAGGAGTGCTTAGCCAATTGATTGAAAAAGCTCGAAGTAAGGAAGATCGTAAGAAGTCACCAGGAAGAGAGGAAAGTCGTGATCGTAGCCAAAGTCGACGACCGAGGAAGTCTCCCGATAGTACGAAGCCTAAGACACCGCCTGGTCATTGGTCTGCCAGCAAAGTACGATCTTTGTATCGATCTCTGAAGGGTGGTAGCGGAGATAATTCTGCCGAGGGACTCGATCAACCGGAAAGGTGTACGGATTCCCAGCAACCACAGTCGCACACGACTGGTAAGAACAGATCTGTGAGGATTGTATGCACGAGTAAATAGCGTTGCTAGAAAAAAATTTGATGCTTCAATTTTGATGACGAATTTAGGGGACTATGTAGATATAGCATTTATAGATCGATGTAAATAAAATCTTGATGAATGTACGCAAGAATTGTTGTACTATCGCGCCCAATTCAGGAACGACGAGTGCACTTTCATTTAAAATTACACTGGCTAATTAATTAAGGAATAAGTCGATGAACAGAGAGGCGAACGTGCTAACAAGTGTCGCGCACGTTATATACCGTGCTACTTAAATAATAGAATGGATATTAATGAGAGAGACACTTGAATGACACTTCCACGTTCGAGTATTCTTTTTATTCGGTTTCATTATCAATATTTTAATTAAATCCAATGCGTGTGTGCAAACAATCGATTAAATTTATCGTTTGATTACTCACACAAACGGCAAACATTCTGCATTAAATGTCAAATATCCACGTAGGTTTCATTGTTTCTTTTAGTTTTAGGGATCTTTTTTGATCAAATCAGATCAACCATCAGTTCTCCAAAGCATCAGCATAATTGATTTCTCATTCAATTCTCATTCTAGCTCTCATTCATTTAAAATCATTCACATACTTTTAGCGGGGGAAGAAGGAGAGTATCAACGAATTTCGGAGGCGTCCAGTACGGGAGAGGTGAAGAAGCGTGTCCAGGCTCAGGTACACGCGGTTCCTGACGAGCAATCGATTTCTGCAGGCAAGGGAACCAAGGTGTATCCGGCCAGCGACTCCGAGGATGTATTCTACGCGGACGAGAAGACGGAGGTGAGGAGGCGACGACGCGCGAGCTGCGACAGCCTAAGTACGACCGGCTCGGGAAGCAGGCGATCGAGTATCGTCGATGGGACGGTAGGTCAATCCGTGCAGGATCCCAGGAAAACAATGGTTCTTTTGATCGGGCCTACACCGAAGTCGTCGTCTCTGGTGCAGAAGCAGCGTTCCTGGGAAACGTTTCCTCGGCCGAAAAGCAAACGCAGCGTAACAGCCAGCGAGGGTGGTACCTCATCTCTCAGCCAGCTGAAGAAAACGGACAGTTTTGAGGGGCATGAGGAAACTGTGAGAACGCTGGTGGCGGCCGTGCAGGAGACAAGGTCGCATCTGCATCATCGTCACGTGCATCACCATCGCCATCACCGAAAGAGCAAGACGAATTAAAACGACAAAGACGGTCGGTCGGTCGGTCTTGGTCGAGGGAAAGCGCACGGTGAAGGTTTTAAAGAGCTTTTTTCCAAGAGGTATCCAGCCCGGATGGTCAAAGTGCGGAAGTAGATGTTGACTGTAGAAAGAAAACTAAATCGAAATAAAAGTATTTAGTAGACTGTTCTGGGTAGTTAGGCTGCGTTTGGCTATCCGGGAGGGAATCGATACCCTCCAAAATAATGCCTAGCATACATCGGGGAAAATATTATCGAAGGACTGTACTTTTTCGATCGATAGCATATTGTTATTGGGGGAGGGGGGGGGGGGGAGCATTGTCATGCAAAATGGTACTACGAGGATTTTTTTCCGAGTATTTTGAGCATTTTATTAGAGATGTTATAATAAAAGTAAAGAGCATTTCGTGTGATGTATGTAATACCACAGACGAAGATGATCGTACGAATGATAGAAATCGTTTATCGCTATAAACTGCCACTGATTAAAGCATCTTCGACAAGTGCATATTTTTACTTTTACGATACATTGTAAATTTTTCGAATGTTTTATTTTTCGGTCTGGACCAAGGAGTGTTTTCAACGTTTATATAATCATCTTGTATGAATTGGTCGAGTAATTTCTACTCCCATGTATGTCTAGTCAAAGTTGTTTCAGGGTCAACCAGCCTTCAACGTAGAGCAGTCTTCAATTTTTTATCGAACAGCGTTTTGATTGCACTTTGAAGCGCCGAAGGTCACAATATCGCTGCCAATAGTGAAATAATACGTAAAAGAAGTCTACATATTATATATGCATATATAAAAGAGAAAAAAGAAAATTGATAAATGATACTCTTATTGTTGATGCAGCCCTTACATGGTGCATAAGCATTCAAAGGCTCGAAATAGGATTAGAGGGATACGTCGATAAATTATATGTGAGTATACACAGAGTTAGGATTTAATTAATACTATTACCATTACTAATATTATTACTACAAAAATATATAAGAAGAAAATAAACAAGACGAAGAAGAAGAAGAGGGGGAATGAAGGAAATAATTTTCCACGCTGCTCAAATCGTATGTTTTCTGTTAACTTGGATTATAGAATTGGATTAGGAGAACTGAATTTTGTAAATTGAATGATCGAAATTGAATCGTAAAAATTAGAATTTATATATAACAAATTCCATGATACTCTGTACACTGTACACTGAATCTATAGTTAAACGACGAATAAATCATCGATTGTACATGAAAAATCGAAACGACAGTACTTGTCCTGATAGAAAAAGGCAGCCTAATTACAAGTATATTTGTAATTTGCCAAATACACGAGGATCCATCGTCTGCGATTGTACTCCAATTACATGGGTGTATAATTGCGATAAATGTTTTTACAATTACATACACGTGTGTCAAATATTGAAGTGAATGTTTCACTAGAAGTACAGCCTATGCAATATTTATCACTGAAAACGAAGGTTCCTCGTGAAAGTTAAATACAATCGTTAAAGAATTAAAAAGATATCGTGATCTTTGTACAGATCATGAGTTATAATTATAGTAAATGTACACGATTAATTATGTATGAGAAATGTCGAATTGCTGATAATAGAGAAATATACAAGTTATGAAGTATGACAATTGTTTAATTATTGATTAGTATTTTAGTTGTCCGATGAGGTGAATTTACTGATTTGAATTTACGCACTCTTTTATTTTTTTTCTTTGCCAGAATTCAAATTCTGTAATTTTGTATGTATAATATATTACATTAATAGAGTATTTGTATGATTATTTTCCGCAGCTGACATAGTTTATTTTAATAAAATTTATCTATAACATTATACAATTTTTTTTTTATCATCATTTAGTCTGACTAAAATAATGCAGTAAATCTTTAGAATACAAAAACTGTTTCTATATATATTATAAACATATGATAAAATATACACATGACATGATGATTTAAGTATTTGTTTACATTAATCTGAATTATTTTTATTTACAAAGTAATATACAGTTTTTTATTAGTTATGATAGAAATAAATTTACATTCCTATTTTTTTTCTTTTCATTATTAAAATCTCTTTTTCAATACAGTAGTCTCTTTTCTTACTTTTATTTTACATCTGTTTATTTCAGAATTTAAGAATAAATATATGATCATGATTTTTATTGCAATTTGTTTTATGATCAGGTACAGTTAAAAAAAAAAATTAAAAAACAAATAAATTAACTTAAAAGGATGTATTATATTTCTATTATTTTATTATATTCTTTTCTATTTTTTGCAAGTTATTAGTATTGGTTACATTTGGAATAAATTTTTCACTAATCAACTCTAATTTATTTTTCCTGTTAAATCCATTAATTGTCGAGTTCGAATCGAAATTAATTAATTTTACAAGTGTGTCTTGCTCAGTTGAATTTAACATTATTTGAGATGCTCTTTGAAAATGTCCTACCAAACGCAACAGTTCCGAAAGTGTTACGTTTTTACTGACATTTAATGATGGGTTAAATGGATTATAAATATAAAGAGGCGACGCATCTTTTTTCAATTTGGTAATTCCATCTCTTAAGCAAAGTGCATGCGTTTTAAAATCGAAAAAGCAGTAATATTCAAAGAATTCGAATAAAAGTTTGGATAAACTTTCATCGTTATTGGACACAGAATTCTTCCATTTCAAAAACCAATCGAAATTGTCGATTGTGTTGCTTTTGTCTGTGAATAGAGAAACAACAAATGTAGTGCAATAATTGAATATGCAGAATTCTTTGAACGTTCATACTTACCACGGAAGATTTTTATTGAAGATAAAGAGGGTAATATATGTTTCGTTTGTAGATAAAATAAAATTAACAAAGTAAGAGAAAAGTTTGTTATCCATTGACCTGGATTTTCTTTTGTTAAATTCATACTTCTTGCCCACTTACGAATGGTGAAGACAAGTGGTTTAACGCGCCAGTCTAATTGTCCATACAAATATAGCAACTCGGACATGTGTAACGCAGTCCTGCACAAATATTATTAAAAGTAATCATATAAATAGTATCAAAAAGTAGTATAATAGTAAAAAACACTTATTACATACATGTTTGTACTGCAAAGATCACATTGCATATTTGTATTTAAGTTACGAAATTTAATTATAGGTACTCGTGCTTCAAGAATCTTTTTTACATCAGTGACACCAGGCATACATGTTTTTATTATTGTACCTATTACATCTAAAAAGTGTTTTTGTTCAACTCTGTCTGTAAATGGGACAATTTGTGTCAGAAAAAGAAACTTTTTCCAGCCCTGAAAAAAGCAGGTTTTTACAAAATTATACGTACACAATATTTATTTGTACTTACAGATGTGTCATTAGAAGGTATATTAGTTTTACATAGTAAATCAAGATCACATCCTATTTGTCCAAATCCATTAACAGAGGATCCAAATGGTACCACAGACAGGTTGACAAATAATTGAGATAAATAATATGAAATTTGTGTAGCAGTATAGAACCTCAGTCTTATGTTTAATTCTGTAATTCTTAATGTATCATAGAGAAATATCATTTGATTTGACACCTAAAACATTAAAGAAATATTTTCTATCATTGCATACAATTTACGATTAATTTAATATTTCTGTACATTACAGATTGTATTTTCTTCAACGATTGATTGATTTTATTTAAATTTGGAGTCACAAAATTAGAGTGATATTCATAACTATCTTTATTTAATGTGTTCTGATTTGATAATTTAACTCGTGGCTTATATAAGAAGAACGGTGTCACAGAATGAGCATATTCTGGATCTGCTTTACACACAGCTATATTTCTAAGAGCTTCCACATCCTTTTGGGAACTACATTCCATTAACACAAATCTCTACAAATAATATCATAAAAGATTGACTGTAATTATGTAGCAAATTCATTAAATTATACATTATAATTTTTAAATAAAAGGTTATAAGAAAAAAGTAAAAATTACAGAAATATTTACTTACGTTATTATCTATTGTATTATAAGGAAAAACATTTACAATTTTTGCATAATATTCACAAAATTTTTTAAGATGTTCAATATGACCGACTTCAGATATCTTTATTATAACAGATTTTTTTGCTTCAGTTTGTCTGAATTTAATCATTTGTGCAAATGTCCGATAATCCCTGTCCAATATTTCTGCACCTATAAAATATATTTCATTTTCCTTTAAATATTGATATACAATACAATATACATATATATAACAATATCAATAACACTTGTTATCAAAGTTACTATTGTAAGAGGTTAGTTAACCTATTACTAGTTCCTATAACCAGATTTATATTAAGATATTTATAACCTTTCACATATCTTTTGTTACACATTTATAAGTTAAATTATAACAATAAGATGTTAATTAACAAGACTGACTATTAAAACTTTAATTAGCAAGACGATTTTTATAGATAAAATAAAAAAATAAACATGAAATTAGTCATTATGATATGTCATTGGAATAAAAATGAAAAAGAATAAATTAAATATCGAGTTAAAAACACATATAAAAACAAAATCAGAGAAAAAAAATGTGATCGTTAAAAATTGTAGCAAATGAGGTTATATCACCAAAAAAATAATTTACTAAAATTACTTTTTTAAAGCATACCAGCAAGATTCGAATATCTCATAATATCGGATTCCCTTTTTAGTCCTTTTATGTTTACTATACATTTACAATGAATTGTATTTAATACAAAACCAAAACTATTATTAACACGGCGTACAAGTGCCATTTTTATACACTAGCGCCGAACACGTGGTGATTATGATACAAATACTTCATTAGTACAGGCAGCCGGTAATTTAGCATGTGTAAATGTTCATTCGAATCGGTAAAACAGTACAGCTGTTTAATAATCAATTTTTAATCTGAACATTTTACCTCTATCATTGACTAAACATAGATTGTATTGTATCTCCAGATTCTAAAACACGAGATTAGTATCTAAAATTATACGACAGGTTTTTTGTTGGAAACGATAAAATACTTACAACAGGATTTTTTATTTACTGAAATATATTTAGAATGGACCTGATATTTAATCAAAAAGCAGACATAGAATAGGTAATCAAATCATATGTTTTGAAATATCCATCAAAATTTAAAGTATAATTTTCTACAATATTTAAAAATGCGTAATAATAATTATCATACAAAAATTCAATCTACAATTTTAGAGAACATTCTACAGAAAGTGCGCAAATTTACAGAGAATATCTATCTCATGATTAACTAAAACTAGACGCACACGATTTAAAATTAAAACACACGCATCCCACGATGTCCCTGCGAAATCCCACAGCGTCCCTCGTCATCCATCGTCGTCTCGAGATCTAATAGTTTACTTATCAACTAATTGTTCCTATCAAGTTTAGACCGTGAAATAAAGAAAAGAAAGAAATTTGTAATCTAAACTGAACTGTAGGTTGCGTAGTTCTTAGCTTGATATCGTTTTGCAAATAGTAATATTCGGAGAAATCGATTTGCTTTGCTTTCTAAATAGTAATACTCCAAGATATTAATATTTGGATAACGATACCAATTACCAAGACCCACCACGTGGAGGTGACTACGCACAGGTCTCATTACAATATATCGTAAATCAGTTCTGTTTTGAATTTAAATAATTTGTTAGAAGGAGAAAAGATATCTGAGAAACGAGACGTAATAGTTTGATCAATCTAATGACTAATTTAAGATATTGAATAAATGTTCTTGTTTAACAAATTGATAGTAAAAGACTAAATTATTTTCCTATTTATAGATGTAAAAAGAGAAATACTGAAAGTTTCTAATAATATTTAAATAGCAATAGTATTGTTAGACTAATATTACGTATGTACATGAAGAAATATCATGTATATTACGGTAATTAAAGGATAGTAATTATCAAAGTATATCTTGTACGAATATGATACAATTCGTGGCAACTGAACTTGTATTTAAGTTCAAATAATCACGATCAAGCACTACACGTGGTACTTACTTGTGAGCTACTCGATCCCATCTCTACTCGAGGTTCTCCCTCTCTCTCACCTGTGAGCATGGCCTCCTGTTAGTGTGAGCTGTGTGAGGGGAACACAGAAGTTAACAGAGACCGTGCAGGATGAAGAGCAGTGCAGTCTCGAGCCTCGCGTCGATAGCAGCGGATTTCTCTGTGCCCGGCTCTCTCCATGCTCGACTGCTTCTTTTCAGAGCAACGAACAGCCGGTAGATAGTGTGGTGCAGTGGCGATAATAAAATACATGAAAAGAATTCCCGCCAGATTATGGGAACATTCACGAAGAAGGTAGATCTGTATTGGAGAGCAACAGCGTGGTATCAATGATAACAGACCATCAGGCAGAAACTTCAAGGAACATTGTCAAATTAAAAATCCCATTTAGCAAAGAATATTCTGTTTTCGAGTAAAAGTTACACTACAAAACGATAGTATAACGCTTGCAAATTGCAAAGATAGGGTCGTAATTGATGACACGGAGAACAAAGATGACGATCGACACTTTCCTGAGTTAATGAAACGAGATTTTGGAGACTTCGAGTTTCGTAAATGAGTGAGACGAATAGTCGTCGAGGGATCGGTCACGATTTGGGGATGTCGCCGTGCGCGAGGTGGACCTTGTGGCCGGCGAGAACGCGTTTCCGACGCTATTCGACGAGTCTCGCATGCTACCGGAAGTGCTGATGATGAACGAGCCGGATCCACGAGGCAGATCGAACTGGTGATTTCGACGAACTTCGGTGCTTCTTGAAGAAGTGATTCCCTCGATTGTTTTCTTGACTCTCTTCGTTTCTCTTACGTTCGACTCGTTGTTCTGCAAGAACAGTGGAAAAGATTTATCTTTCTGAAGGAAACGAAAACGGGCAGTGCCGCGTTGTTGATAATTGGATATTTTAGGTGGCAGACCGGTGATCCTATAGGTAAGATATTCGTTTCACTATTTTTTTATTGTTTAAGTGTTCTGTAAGATATCGTTCAAGCAAGATAGTATAAATATTTACTAATCATTCGATATGTATAATATGTATTACTGAATATCTTTTTCTTTTATTCTTTATATTCTCCGATATTTTAAACATTTTAATATCTACAGAGTTATTTTTGAGATAAAAAGCTAGTTTGAATTTTAATTTTATTCATTGGCACTCTTCGATAAGTATTAATAATTCTGTAAGCATCCTGATGATTAATGTTCATAGAGTTGTTTTTATTATTTCGAAATGAAAATATTGACGGATGATATGATTAATAGAATGGAAATTTAATAGTATAGAAACGTAATGTATCGGATGATTAATGAAAATAATACATTTGCTCGATTCATTGATTCGGTCCGTTTAATGAATTCATTATATCGGAGATAATAGTATCGAGATACGAAGATACAGTCCTGTTAAACGTCTCTTAGGGTTTTACGTTTTTATCTTTTTAATTGCATTAATACCAAGATGGCGCAATGTCTTGTTGCGAGAGGAGACTTGTACGAAGATCACGTTGGCGGATATTCAAGGGCGCAGAAGGCGCCTAGAACGAGTTCTCGTCGGACTTACTGCTCAAAAAGAGAAAAAAAGAATGACAATGAGATTGAAATTCGTTACTTACGTCATTTGCGTTTCAAATGGTTCTCCATTCTCAAGGTTATCGAAAGCGAGTATATAGACATATTGCACAATGATTTTTCGTCTTTGATATTTATTTTACCCATGAAATAACTTCTTTGACATGTATTTTAATCTCATTCGTTCAAGTTTTTTCAGAATAAATTAATTTGCAGAAATTTCTCCAAAATTAACTTCAATATTGACAATTCTCAATTCATTCATATTTTACTCGATTAATATTAAACGAGACATTTAGAAGATGAAAACTGATGAAATATTTTTTCAGGATTTCTTTATCTTGATACTACAGTTGATATTACGATTAACATTTAATTGCTTCGAACGAATTTATCTAAAATTAATTCTGATACCGATTAACTGAAATTTTATTCCAATAAACGGAGAATTCTATCATAACTAAGCACGATTAATAATATGTAATGGAAAATTCGGAGTCTTAGAAAATTTCTTTAATCAAGGTGTCTTCACCATTAAGATAATTTCCCAGATGCTAGATCTACTTTCAAATTATCTATACTTTGTTACGCACGGTAACATTTAAGATTTGAAATTTACATACATACCCGAATGTTTCTTCTAATTGTACACAAACTAAGCAGTCAATGAAATTATTTTAGTTTCCATATGGTCAATATACCCTAATCGTCACAACTCGTTGCCTCCAACAACGCGACGTTTCAAAAATCCACATCCTGCAGTGGGGCTGGTATATTTCGTTGAAAACACGCAGTCTCGTATACAAGCATGATTCCCTCGTTCGACGTTAATATCGTTCTGGTAGTGGTTGTAAAGATGTTGATACTTACTACATTCGAAATAGTGCATGGTTAGAGGGGTGTAACGCGAGAGCGGCTGACAGCTGTGCGAACAGCGTGGAAGCAACCGTTTCCTTTCTCGAGCACGCTCTGCAAAGACACGCATGGAAAATGGAGGGGCAAACAGCCAACGGCTGAATGGGTATAACGTGGACTTCATAGTCGGTTTAATGAAACTACGTTATGCAACGGAACTACGTGAAAACGGGTACAAGGCTTGTGACGCTTGATCATCCTCGTAGGTGGCACTGGTGACCAAATATGAGGGCGCCAAGGATCGTCCACGCTCACGCTTTGGACGATTTTCATCCAGAGATTTTAATAACTGAGGTATATTAATCACATTGGCTGTGACTGAGGATGAAAAAGGATGAGTTTTACTTGAATTATCGTTTTAGAGGTTCGTTAGAGTTTCAGCAAGGAAAGGTAACATTGAATCTAGTCAATGAATTTTTTTTTTTTTTTTTTTTTAGAGAAAATAGTTTGAATGGAAAATTTAAAAGTGCAAAATTGCACAGGACGTGTGACGAAGAAACGCGTAAAATAAAATTCAAAGTGTAATTTCTACAATATTTGATATACAAACAAATTCTGTATCGAAATTCTACTTTTTTAATCATATTGTAATACGAATTTGTATACAAATCCAAAGTCTAGCAATTACAGTGGCTTCTAACTTTTTAATCAAATAGATCAATGTAACTAGAATTAATTTGTCTTTAACTTTCAATTTTAGAATTATGTTAAGAAATTTCTGATTAAGAAATGACGCTTAAAAAATTTTGTTCTCTCTATATTTATGAAATTAAGAAAAATTTCGTAATTCAATAAAAAATATACTTGTTACCTATATGTTTATCATAGATTATTTCTTCATAGAGTTTTTTAATTTTATTTTTGGAGGCAATAAAACTTTTTTTTTATATGAAAAATTATCGTCAAAATTGCAAGACTGTTTTACTTATAAATCTTGGAATTTCGTAACTATGCATCGGTGACTATATCTGTCTTATGCGACAGAAGTCGCTGGTGACTTCAACGCCCGGTATGTCATGATGTGGGCACTGTTTCGATAGCCAGAAATTCTTTGGCAATACTTATAACCTTCTTTTATAGTTTTATAACTATATTCTTTTTTAAAAAAATATAATATTATTATTATTAACGCCATAACGAAAATGTAATGATTATATTGGTAAAGTTTGTAATTGATCTAAAGATGTTTATTGCAAATATAGATAGAAAATTAAAATTAATAAAAAATTAGTACAGTATGGATATATAAATACCAATCAATCACTATTAAATACCAAAGCTTATTAATAATTTTGTATTAATTAATATACTTGTAATAAATATTTATTTATTAATTACTTTTTCGATATAAGTATAACAGTCTCAATATACATATGTATATTTAATGTATTTCAATCCCCATTTATTTCAATATATATACTTAATTCATTTTTTAAATTTCCTTGCAAATAACAATCCATATAACGATTTTAAACGTTTGACAAACGTAAGTTTAAGTACATTCAAATTTATTTTAAACTTCAACCAATATATAATCACGATAGCGTAGCATTACGATGTTAAGTCAAATCCCATTACACGTTTCTTAAAAACGTGTCTCCAAACGCTCGAACACTTTCACGAGCCACACGATTTTCCTCTCTCCTAATCTTACTATCAGTAACACTTTTCCTCAAACGCAAGAGCCCAAAAGGTTAGGAGAAATAGATTTCTGCGTGACAAAGAGAAAGTGAAAGGTAGTCGGTGTTACGGCCCTGGGTTTCCAAGTGCATCAAGTCGCGAGGCACGAGCCTGGCTTTCCTGGCCGCCGCGAGAAAAGGTGGAAAGAAGGTGGCAGAACCTCGCGGGATGTCGATCGACCAGCCACGTAAAATCTCGCGGTTCGTCTCGCGACGTCCATGTTCGATCAAAGAGAAGCCGTAGAGGAGCCGGTGGTGCAGTGAAAATGGCGTCCGCGCGGAAGGGCCACGATCGAGCACGGTGGTCCAGTGTGTTCGAGGTCGTTCCTGTTCCGTGCACCGACCTCTCCTCTTGCTCGAAAAAGTGAACGTTGCGTTATGTTCGGCCACCTTCGCGAAACACCGCGTCGCTTTCTCGACACAGCTCTAGTAACCAGCTCGAAAACGTTCTCACTACGTCAAAATCCAACCCTTCTACCCTTGCAACTTTTTCCTTTCCTCCCGAATATTCTCCCTTCGACCCTTGGCATTTCTTCGCATTCCCACGCCTTTCGATTTCCGTATTCATCCAGTGTCACGATGTGGAACGATCGAGACGAGTTTCTTGCATCTGCGTGTCTTGCGAACCTTCAACCGTGTCACGTTACTTGAACTAGGATTCTGTGTAACATTGACCAGGAAAAGTCTGATCTCATGGATCTTAGGAATGGAGAACAATTTTTTAGTGTTGCGTAGAGACTGCTGATGTGTAGTTACATGCACTGAAGATAATTTGTGATTAGAAACGTTTAAATCGGACGGATGTATGAGGAACGCTGAGTGGATATATGTCGAGCGAAACGTTCTTAGAAACGTGACAATGGAAGACGATTTTTTGGTGTTCTATAGAGACTGCTAGCATGCAGTTACAGGTTTGATCGATAGTGGTTAGAGACGTTTAACTGGACAGATGTATAAGGAACCATTGAGTGAAGAGTATAGGCTCGTTTGCGTGTGATTTTTCGTGCTTTGTTGCAAGTGTTCTCGCGCGAGAGACGTTTGCACGGTCGATCGTACTCATGGGAGTTCGACCCAGTTATTAATAAGACTTTCTCTTTTATTTTAGCCATGGACTGGCGGGGGATCGCGTTGGCATTTTTATTGGTGAGTAAATGAACAATATTCTTTGTTGATAATCTCTAAATACCCTCGCGATTCTTCTACGTATGTTAACATTAGAACTGGAATTCTTTTCTTCATTCCTGAATAGACTGTGGATATTCGTGCATTTATGTCAAGTGCAAGATAGACAAGAGTGAATCTAGATGCACAACAAATGTTTAACTTTAATTATTTTAAGTAAAATTAAAGGTAAAAGGTTTAAAAGTGCACAATGCATGTAATGTGCAAAAGCATATAAAATATCCAAAGTTTTTAATAGAAAAAACAATTTATTTCTTTACTCGCGTTTATAAAAATGCACAAAAATTCGCAGTCTAATTATAGTCTCCACTTGAATTTAATTCCATCATCACTATCTACGAATCCTATCAATTTCTACTAATGAAATTTAACTTTCTCTCGATGAATTTGATTATATCAACTTAATGACGAACTTAATTGTATTAACATACATACGAAAAATTAAAAATACCAAATATAGATACAAATGATATAAAAATTGTCGATGTATAATAATGGAGATACTCTGATGTATATTAATAACTATCAAGAAATATACTAGAAAATAGAAAGTATACTAAAAGTACACTATTATATTATTAAATGACGTATATAATATATAAAAAGATGTGTAATACTAAAAACATGAATCTTAATTCTTTAATTAACTGTAAGACGTGTATTATTTTAGTTCAAAACCACGAATGCAAATTGCGACATATTATCAACGTTCGATTACCTTTCTCCAGCTGGACTTCATGAAACAGCTGAACTTTGTCCCTCTCTCTTGGGGATGGCCCATCGACTTTCGTTCGATTTCATTTCCGATTGTTCACAAGGAATCGCGTGTACAACACTTTCTCTCATATTGTGTCGTATGAAAAACAAGCGTGACTGGAGAGCGTGGTGTGTTGGCCAGGAATGCGGGGAATTATGTAATCCTTTGTTGGTACAACCTCCAGCTGAGCCGACTGCCAGGAAAACTGTGTCGAGGCGGCTGCAATATTTTTTACGCCCTGCAATTTTTCACCTCCGTGTCAATTTTGAACGCGGCTATCCAGCGAAACGTCGCTGTCGTGTATTTACTTGCCAAGTCTCTTTAAACAGGTCCTTAAAATAATTTTACTTTGCTCGTGCAATTTTGCATTCAATGGAGACTGAGATAAACAAGATAGACTTAGATTACCCATACCAGGCGCTCATTGTCTAATTAAATTGCAATAAAATCGCAAACGAGACGTTTGCAATTCAGAACACATGAATGTTCTGTACAATCGCTGTATATGAGAGTTCAGATGCTGAATGAGTCACTGAATGATTTTCCAATTGCTCGTGAAAGTTGTCCAGCATTTGTGCAACGTATTTTCGCCTTTTTGCAAACTCCGATTTTATCCAAAAGAATTACTGGTATTCGGTATTGATTGCAGTGATACAGTTTTTGTTTGCAACGTGTTCAACAAGCGTTGCAAACTTTCCTGTTGCTACGAGATGAAGACTGTACAAGATAATTCAGCCAGATACTTGTTCCTTTTATGATAATTATGGTAAACATCCTCGTAAAATGAAACGATGCTCTCTTGACAAAGAACGGTGCGTCTGATGTTGTTAATCTATTCAAAAGGTTGCAATCATGGGGTCTGTGCAACGCTTAATAATCTGACTACTCTGGAATTTAGGAATTATACTGATTAAGACCGCAGGAGATTCTTACAAGTGGCTGTTTAATGTTGTTTCGATTTAAAACTTGAAGAAATCGCTTTGGCAATTTTTAATCGAATTAATATATGAATAACTGAATTAGTTTATTTTTGTAAATTCGACACAGGACTCTAGAACTCTATCTATAGTTTGATAATTAAATGAGTTAGAAGAACAATGAACCTTTTAATTAACAAAACCAAATAACAGGTTTTTCCGACATATACTTTATTGTATTATAATATTCCAAAATAAAATATTCTTGAGTTTCTCTGCTTGCAATTTCATAATTAAATTACAGTTTCTTGAAAATAAATAAACGTTTATATAATTACAAATGTCATTTCTAATAGAAGATTTAATATAAGATTTATATGAATATAAAAATTTCTCACTATTTGTAATTTTCTCTCAAAAATAAAATTACATTATTCTATGAAAACCAAGCAGACGTTTGCATAATTCTAACCGATAATGCAAGTCCATAATCGCCAAGCAAATGTAATTTCTACTTTGAAACGGCCATCGATTTGAATAATGAACGTATAAACACTTACAAGGTAAAAACCTCGATCTTCGTAGAAATTGCAAGTTCGTGAGAAGAAAGCGTTTCGAGCAGATCGTGTAGAAATCATCGTCACTGAGGAAACGCGAATTTCCAAGTGGATGCTCTGCGCGACGTATACTCGACATTTTGTCGCAATTTAATTCAAATTCAGGCTAATTACGCTCGGTGAAAGATATTTCCGAAACGAAAGTCCATCGTTAAAGAGTTAAACTCTTCGCAGATTCTCGATAAATATTTGCGTCTGCAAAACATCGTGGGAAAATCTATGAATAGATTCGCTGAAAAAAGACTGACAATTTTCGAGAAGATGTAAACGTTTACAGAGCTCTGAGTACACTCCAGAAGAATAATAGACTGAAACTTCTAACCGACTGATCATTATGAATGCAAACAAGTCGCTTTCAAGTGTCTTTCCGCGAAGGACATAAACCTTGAAGTGCCTTTTGAAGGCACGTAAAAAGAAGAGAACGAAGAAACTCTCCAGTTTAATAAGAATATCGAGAAAAATGGCGAGAAGAGAAAACAGCCCATCAAGCGCACAAAAATTTATGGTATTTGACTTGTCGATGGATATTTCGAAGTATTTGAATATATTGCAAAACAAATATTTGCACGAATGTTCCGTATGCAAGAGAAAGAGTCATGATCACCGGAGGAACAGCCACGCCTACTTTTACTTAGTGTTCTTTTAAATATCGGCGCAGGATCTTGGAGAGGTCCCTGGAACTCGTTTTCACAAACGTTTCACTGTTGAAGTCGATAGGAGAACCGATACCGGAAGTGAACCGCTAAATACTCCCTTGCGAGCAGTTCACACGTATACTAAGATACAGGCAAAATTTTCTGTGAGCGTAACTTTCGTCACTGTCTGGTGGATAATTTATGCTTGATGCATGCATACTGCTCGAAGCAATTAGAAGATTGTTTATTTTTCTGTTCTGTTCTATTCCATTTTATTGTAATATATGTACTTTGTGTGTTGTTATGAAATTGATTATACAAAGTAAATTTAGTAAAAGTCTATTTTTACCGAAGTTTTACCGTGAATAAAATTTCATAAATTACTTAAATTTATTTCTGGTTTTTTATATAAATCTTCGACAGCTAAATGAGATTAAATATATGTGCAACAAATTATCATTATTTAACACTAGGCTAATCAAAATTGTAGAGCAACAGAATTTATGGACACAAGCTAGAAGAAACGTTATCGCGTTCAATAGAAAAATCACGTTTGTTTTTCACTCTGGGAGAAAGTCTTCGGCGATCGAGTTTAGAACGACGCGATTGCGTAAATGATTTTTCACCGATTTGTCGAATCTCATTGTAAGTCTTGCGTAACTTTCAACCAACAAGGGCGTCTATTTAGAAACGAAATCAAATTCTAAATGAATGTGAATCGAATTCGAACGTTCGAAACTCGAAACGGTCGTCTCGATGAGCGACAGGGACGTATTAAAGAAGAGGAGGCGTAGGTGTTCCTTTTAAAACGTGGATTTTCACGGAGAGCCTGCAATCTCTGGCTACGCCCACGCAACATCAGCGACTTTCAAGCTTTTTTCTTCCTCCGCCACGCACACGTCACGTTCAACAATGCTCATTTAGTATCTTAAATCAGATTTCGTTCGTTCTGTTTCGCAGCTTGCCGATTGTTTCGAAAATACCTCGAGAAATTGTACTGAGAAGATTGGCGCAATTAAAGAGACATTTACCTTTCAACTGAAAGGTGTAAATGAATTTCAAGGATTCCACTTTAAACATTGTGGACAGTTCTGAATTTTTCAAGTTCTCCATTTCTTTTTTTAAATAGAAATTTGTTTTTTTTTTGTTGATAAAAAGTACTCTGCTCTTGATCTTTTATACTTTGATATTAAAATTTTAATATATTAGGTTTACGTCTTTATATCATAAGAAACTGGAAAACCCAAAATTGATTCAAACACAGAAATTACGAGAAGTTTATTAGAAGTACGAACAGGAATAAGCATCTTAAACACAGTAAATGTTAAAAATCTACTCAATCACTCTATCGCTCTATATTTAGATTTATTATCATGTCAGATTATAATTGTATTAATATAACAGTTAATAGATAAATTCCCGCATGTAACGTAGGTTTTCATATTTCAAACAGTACCAATGACACAACTAATAAAACTTCTAATGAAGAAATAAAATTTCGCGTGCATTAAAATGTGTACGCTACTCGAAACTGCGAATTCTAATAATTCTTGTACGACGAGTTACGAATAAATAAAATTCTACTCTACCTTCGAATAAAGACCTCCGCAAAGGAAACCATTCCTTTCGATAAGGATCGTAGCGTATTTCACCTAAAAGCGTGCAACAATGACGTCATACAGATACCTACAAAGATATAACAATCGGGTAGAGGCGAGTGAGTAATGCAACTTGCGTTGTACGCTTGCAGGCTTGCGCGATGGGAGGCGTTTTCAAGGAGACCTCTACCTACGCTAGATCCGCGACTACGTCGATTCGATTACCCATTGATCTACTTGATAACTTGCTCGCTCCAGGTGAATTACAATGCACGAAAATATCTGGTTGCCCGTTCGTGCACGTTCCCCTCCGGAATCGTACGTTTTCATCAAGGCAGCGGACAAAAGTTATCAAAATCTCCGGGTTAATGGTATCATTAAAAAATGATTATGTATCATTATTTATCGTAATTATTCGTGCAAGCGAAGTTACGTTTAATCATATAGTCCGGATAATAGTGGCTCTTGGACGAGACTTTCAAAAGTCGAATTGATCAATTACACGCGAATGATCGTTTCTTTTATTACTAGAGTATTTCTTGAATGAGCTACTTTCATACAAACCGATGAAACCTTCCCCGCGCAAATATTCCGTGCAACAACCCTTAAGCTTCAAGCTCGTCTATTTTTCTCATTGATTTTGCCTGAAAATCGCATGTGTATTTTATAAGTTGCACGTTTATAAGCTGCAATTGCAATTATTATACTTTAACGTTGTATTACTTCAACGTTACATCGATTGTATTTCAAAGTCTCATCCTTGAAGGATAAACGCTCCCGTGGAAATAAGCTTGAGTTTCGTAAGTACGCCCATCGACCAGTTTCACCCTCGAGGCGAATCCTCTTTTTCTTTTTTTCTTTTCTTTCTTCTTTTTTTTCGGATGAAACTACACTTTGCACCGTATCCTTGCGATTACGTATAATTGGATCGAACACGATGGACGTGAGTGGAAACGTTCAAGCGAGGCCGAGGCTTCTGCATGCGATTCTACACAGCCATATATGGAACCCGCAGTTCTACTGTCCGTCAAAACTCGTACGATAGTAACCTTCTACGTGCACAACACGAGTTCTGTTCTCTGACACTCCCTATCGTGAGACGATTTGACGTGAACATAATAGCGAGGTGTTAAAGATTGTGTTTGAGCATCAAGTGCCTTACTTGTCAATTACGTATGCATATTAGATTGGTGAATATCGAATTTTGTCGAATTCCGCGGGCTAATTCTGATTTCACTAACTTTGATTCATCGACAGAGTAAAGAATGAAAGCGTAGGATGTTCTTCAATCTGATTTTGATTCTTTAGAAAAGTTCAAAGTTGGTAAAACGTTTTCTTTCTCTTCAAATTGTTACAGTTTTCACAATCGTGAACATTTTTAGAAAAATCTCTGCGTATTTTAATATAATATTTTAAATCGTAGAATCGAATCTGTGAATCAAAAAGATTAATTTATTTCAAACATTCTAGTTTTCTGAAAGAAGAGATTTAGATACGACAAATTTGACATTTTGTGATATTTTTCCTTAAAAAAATTGGAAAAGTTACAGGGAATAATGTTAAGATAATCTTGAGTTTTAAAAAAACTTGAATTTTTCAAACATTTCGAAAAAATTCGTATGTCCTTTATGCGAATTTTGCTTCTATGCGAATTTACGCGTAAATACTTGGATATATACGAAATGGCCGCTGACTGACTGAACCACTTTCATCGCACACCAATATGTGCGTTAATAACGCTAACGTTGGTGTTTATTAGACAATTTCTCTAATATACGCGTTTTCGTGACTACAGCTTTCGATGTGAAAAACGTATCGCGAACTCTCACTTTGCATTTAGAAAAATCGCGAACTCTCACTTTGCCGACTTGTATTTTATTTACTCTGCTTCTAGATCTTAATATGGAACTCTAAATATATATAAATATATGGAACTCTAATATAGTGAGTTACAGAAATACTCTTTTAATACTTTGGACAATTAATATTATTTCACAATACAAGTTTCGAAATTCTTCATCATCAATGATGATGTATGTGTGTTGAAATAAGTTAGGTCCACTTATGTAATATTACACTACGAAGCAAATTTTACACATATAAAAACGAAAGTTCTTTTATATATTTTATTATAGAATCAATGTAATAAAAAAAGAAGTTGTTTTATACGTCAATTTATGAACTTTTATATAGAATAATAAAATAAAAAAACTATTTTTTTTTTTTACACAGTTTGCTAAAGTGAGTTCTTAAGATGTTAATTGGCATTTTCTTTAATAAGAATTTTGAATTGTATTTTAAAACAATGTTAATTAAATGCAGTATTGCAGAAGGCAGTACAAATATTTCTATGATTCACTTTCATACTGGATCCTCCTCGAACGAAACTAGTTGCATAGATCTGCCACGAAGATGTCAGTCCATCGTCAAGTATAGAAGAAAAGAATACGGTGCAAGCGATCGACTTGAAGAATTATACGCTCACCTAATACGTAGAGCAGTGGTCATGCGAGTATACACGTAACGTCGATACCTAAATCGGCATGGATTGGGAAATAAAAGTATGTCGAGGGAGTAAAAGGTGTTTCGAGTGCCCTTGCACCGTTCACCGTCATCATTTCACGCTGGAGAACGTTTATCGCATTGTGAACAAGTTTCACGCTTTTTTTTTCTTTTTTCTTTCTTTCTGTTAAGATATAATAGAGTTAAATTGAGTTAACATATATAAAAGATATTTTAGTAGAAGAGGTAATAACTTCTAGAGGTAATGAAATTTTATAAAAATCACGAATAACAAAGTTACATTGGAAGCTTCATTTACGAAAAAAATTAGAACATCTTCTGGAAATTTAAAGGTTTAATTTAATAATTATGGAAATTAATAAATTGTGGATATTTAAATTTACGTAAATTTAAATTTTTGCCTGCAAATGTAACTTAGAGATTGCTTTCATCTTTTAAATAAAAAGTGATAAATGATAAAAATACTTGTGTATATTACGTGTAGTTTTGAATCTTTAAATTTCTAACAAATGGATAAAAAGTCTATTTATCAAATATAACGTGAATCTTGTCAGTAATTGTAATATAAATCAATAGAATAGTTGAATCGATTTAATTCTTCGCTAAACGAGATGATCAATGTCTTGATCACTATTATTGCATGAATATCTTAGGTCATCACCGAGGGAGGCATCGAAATTACAACGATCAACTCTACAGCAATTTATCGTAACAATCTTACCAAGTTTTATATCAAAGAATCAAGGTTCTAAATCATCATTCTAAAAATTTTACACGATTTTCTTTTATTATTATTTTCCAATATTTTTCAAATAATATTTTGTCTAATCCGCTAATTATTGTAATGAATTTAAAATTAAATATCTATCACATCCCTCTTTTTTCTATTTTTCTAAAGTTTCTTTCTAAACTGTTTGTCATATTCTGTCCATAAACTATTCGTCAAATTGAAAAGGAATAAAACGTGAATTATAAACAAAATGAATTGCACAAAGCATTGAACTGTTCGAACCATGGATTGTTTAATTAATTATTTAATTCTTTGTGATCGAGTCTATGGAACAGAGAGTTTGACAACTGCCACGAATGACCAAACTAGGATGAGACGTGATGTAATAATGCATGTAACTTAGTCAGAGCTAATCTTTGAACGCTGTTAGAAGACTGGCATGTTTTATTGGATAGGGTAATTAGGAACGATCTAGTCTTAGAACAAGCACGATGCTCGTCCTTTCCATTATCCAATCGGCTTCACCGTATACACAACTGGTCGTCTTTAAGCCTTATTTACAACCTTGCACGACGAGCCAGTTGCTCGGATTTCACTGGCGAAATTAATCATCCAGTTTCTTGTTCTTCTTCGATCGTCGATTATCTGCCCGGCTGTAGATCTTCGATTACGATCCAATTTAATTTCAGCCTCGATCGAAGGTCGCGAACTAGCGTTGATAATGAAATTTAATCAATACTTGGTAAAATCGTTCTGTTCGATCATCCTTCCATTTTGTTCGAATTTCAATTTCATGTACTCTATCATTAATCATTATTCGTTCACCGTGTCAATTTAACATCATTTCTCTTATGAAATATTTTTCTATTTAATACTTTACCGTGTATGGTCCAATTTAGAATCCGGTTTAAATTAAAGAATGTTCATCGTGTCTTATAAAATATAATATCAAGAAAATTTTTACAAAAAGGAATTTGATTAATGTGTATTTAATTCAAACTGAAACGAAATTTTACTTCGGTCAAAAACTTTTGACCTTCCACTTGTTGGAATTCAACAATAACGAAAATATTAATTGACGAGAAAGGAGCAAGCATTGTGCGTCAGATTATCAACTGGCACGTTTTCCACGGATTCACGTGGCTAATAATCAAGTTTAATCGATGAGAAAAGAACTCTCGCGTTTCCACGCGGCTCTGGAATCGCATGATTCATACGCGCTTCGAGCAATAACTGGAGAGAGAGTCGAGCAAGCGGAGAGAATCAGCGGATTTCAGCCTGACATTCTCGCAAGGATTTTTCAGTCGATGACGCGATCTTCGATCCGGGAATGGATTCTCCGATGTGTCATTATCGAAACGTTCTCCATCGTTCGATCGAAACCTTTCCATCTTTGGAGCTTTTTACTTTTAACAATAAACCTTTTTGCACGATGATTTGAATATTCGAATAAAGCATATACTATTGTCAACTGAGTCGTTTTCTATAAATATAGGATTCAAAAAGATAAAGACAATTTAGTGTCGATTTCTCACTCTCTATTCCTCACGCTTTTAACTCGGATTATTAATTTTCTACATCTGTTAATTTCTACTTTATTCATTTTTGATTGTGTATATTAAATATGTATGTATGTGCATTATAATTAAACTACCAAGGTTTCAAACTTTCCTCCAATTTTGTTATCAATTTCCCAGACAAATTCGACACACTTCGTTCATTTCTGTACCTTCGAAATTTCCCATGTAAACACACCCTCGTTCTATCCACCTGGTGGTCCCACGCCATCCGTTATTCCCCTTGTCTACTCTAGGGACCAGAGGCACAATCTAACGAGCATCGTTCCTCTTTTTTTCTTTTTCAGATCACAATAGCGAGGCACAGCACCACACACGCGGCCCAAATACCCGAGCAGCTGCCTACATGTGAGTGGTACACACCAGTAAATACGCTTTCTAATTGTCAGCAGCGATAACTAATTAGTCGAGGGGAGGTGGATGAGAGGGGGGTCAATTAACCAAGAACCTTCTCCAGTCAACTTCACTGGTGGTGGCGGAATACCAAGTGGCCAACTGCCAAGTGAATCGTCTTCTCTCCCATGGAAAAATATTTCCTGGTGGATCAAACGATCAGATTAAAAAAAAAAAAGAAAGAAAGAAAAAAAAGAAATAGTTAGATTTCCACGCGCGCGTACGCACTTTCTCTAAAGAGTAGATACAATAGTAGACGACGATGACAATGATTCTAGGAACAATGACCGGCTTATGAACGAGTCTAATTAGTCTGGCAGGGAGCGGTCGGTCGTCTTGATTGATCGAGATGTTTAATTAATTACGCCGGTGACTAATTATCGGCGTGCCTCTGAAATAAGCGGACTAATTAGAGAGACGTTTTAATCTGTGACTCGGAAAAAGCGTACTGTGATATGATCACGTGCAGTCACTATTCCACAGGCTCGCGTGTAGCCGACAGTTCGCAGTCGAGGATCATAGTCGACGATTAACAGCCCATCGCTGTTTCATCTTCCTCCGATTCGACTCGTCGACTCTGTCGTTTTTTTCTTTTTTTTTTTTCTGTTTCTCGTACTTATAATTTCATGTATTTATTTCTGATGGATTATACTATGTTACTGGTTTTATGGGGGACGACGTGTACCGATGCGTAGTTACATGGGAATGAAGTTTAAGATACGTATTTCTTGAAATAAATGGAATCATGATTTCAACGATACGAGCTACGTTGTAAAATGCGTATGTTGTGCTAATTAATTAAGTTATGTTTAAATTAGGTGTATACATTTTGTAAAATATGGGATCAGTTAAATTAAAGCATGAGCGGCATGAAATTTAGAGATGGGAGATTAGTTTTATGAAAAATTGGAATCTTGATGCAGTTGATGTAGAGCTACGTCGTGAAATGTGTCGCGTTAGTTAATTACGATTAAATCGTGCAGATATATTATGAAATATGGAATCATAAAAAATGAAGTCTCAACGTTTTGATATTAATTATTTACATTTGGGTTGATAATTATAATATATGAAAATCTCATAATAATTTTAATATTGGGTAAAAATAAATTGCCAAATTTATTAAAAATACTTTTTAGAAGGAGATCGAAAGATTATTTGGTATATAATATAAATTTTTGCATAAGTAAATGACCGAATGATCAAACAAATAATTAAATAGGTATTTACAGGAAATTCAAGGATACAAAAATAGTATAATATTTGTTACAATATCCTTACTCTAATACTCAAGGAAGATTAGAAAACACTGATTTAAGATTTTTCTACGTCATCCCAGCTTCTTTCTACCTACTTTCTTATCAATTGGCAATATATCTAATGATGGCAATACAATAATTAATTAAAATAAAAATAGCCTGCCGAACAAAGTCATCGAGGTAGGATAATAAATCGAAAGAAAGGGAAAAGAATGGTCAAGAAGAGAGGCTTTCCAGACGAGCGACGACCTTCCTTGGAAGACATTGCTTTGGTAGAAGGTGAACGCAGCCGTGCGACCTAGATTCTCATGTGGCGACCAGAGAGAAAGACCATGAAAGAGAAGAGAAAGAGGCTGAAACGAGATACGAACACGACGAAACGAGATGACGATTATAAACGAGAGACGAACACACGATTTCCTCCTCGACATCGATACGAATCGAAAGTCTTCCATTTGCGGACGGCGCAGCGAACCAAACACTTTCAGCCTTTTACCTTTTACCATCGAGTTCCGCCGTAATTTCACCAACCATCATATTGTACCAATTTCAGAACAATGTTTCAACCTCCTATAACCTCCATATAAACAAGTGGTGTTTTTATATAAACAATTGTTATATAAACAAGCTTGATGTTTTTCAATGGACAGAAAAAGTATTTGCAAAAGTAGTTTTATTTTTCATATACAGAGAAGAATAATGGTTTTATACACATTATTAAAGAATACATTGCACAGGATTTGTTAATAACTGGAAGAGCATAACTAATAATCGTGGAAAATTGCCGATATTTTAAAACTACGCAGGAAATGATCACATAACAATCCACTTGGTTTCACTTTCAAGCACGAAGCTTCTACTTTGACAGTATTGACTATGTTCGATTTTTTTTTTTAAAGAGGTTTTTGCATCATGCACCAAGTGAGGAAGTAATACTTTTTGTTCCTGTGTGTAAAAGTGATACTTTTATTCTTGAAAATTGTAAAAATTGGGAAAGAACTTTGGGAATTTCAAGAAAAAAATTCAATGTTATATTGCTTTCTCACAAGATGTGTAAAGCTGTTATGAATTCTTTTTAGGAATGTTGATGTCAATTGTGCAAAAGAACTGTCTTTACATGAAAAGTCAAAATACACTTCGTTATTTTCCATTTCTATATTTGAGCATGGTTATTAAATTTGTACTTTATACTGATTAATTATTGAATTTATTATTAAAAACATGAAAGTGTTTTATATTATGTCCATTTACCTTTTTTGTATTGCTTTAATTTAAAATGACTATCCATGACGTGTTCCATGTTATCCATGAAATTAAAATTGAAATTAAATTTATCTAAGATTATAATATGAAAATTAATTAAAATCGCAAGTATGATTTGAAAAGCGTGTCTTCAAGAATCTCAGCAAATTGAATAGAATTCCTCCTCGCGAGTGGGCAAAAAGAACCAAGGGAAAATTCTACCTGGTGCACTTAGAAATCTACCGTAATAAATTTATGTAACCACATCGATTGCGTTTACTCTGAACAGACGACTAATGAGTCAGAAGATCTTTTTACTACCGTAGTTGACGAATCGAAAGTACCCTCGCCACTGGGCTTTTACTTTTTATCGTTCAGTCCACAGAACTGCCGAGGATAAATCGGTGCATTCGACAATAAAAAATTGAAGTCTTCAGCTATAAGTATAAACCCCTGAAAATTTAATCCAACTGCTATCGCGTTGGCATATTGGTCGTGAAAGAGTTAATTACCTTCAAAGGTGATCTAATGAAGAAATAATAAATTTATCTCGGAATTCTTCACGAAGCGGAAAACGTCAATCTTTGCATGATTAATGTCATTGTTCGTCCGGACAGCAGTCGCTTGTTTGCTGTTCGAAGAGAAACCGCGCCTCGGAGGAAAGTTAATTTTTCTTTAGGCTTTTGCATGCGAACGCGCGGCTCATCTCTCCTCGTGAGCGATCGTCGTCGTTTGCTAGCTATTATTTTCCGCGTAAAGTGCGCATTGTATTATCTTTAGTGAACGTCGGCTAATATCCTGAAGAATATTTCACTTCAAATACGCGACTTGATCTTATCTCCTTTGTTAGCTGTGTACGGATAATTTAATTTGAGAAATTCTGAAATCCTGCAATTGGATTGAAAGATTAACATGCTTGAAGATGTTAGAAATAATTTTTCAATACAATAAAATATGAGATTTTTAGTATGATGTTGAATTAATTCTTAATTTATCTTAAGACTCTATAACCTCTATTCATCTTGACAAGTTTCGAGACATGATAATAATTTTTGAGATTTTGATAATTTTCTAATTGACCAAATAAATATCCAAATATTTACAAATAGTTTACGAGAGTATATGTTCATTTAAAAAAATCAATTATTTTAAATTCGATTTTATTAATGTTTAATCTAAGAAGAAATTAATTTTCACTATTGAATATTACTCTACTTTCGATATTTTACATTATTCTGCGTACATTATTTCTGCATTTTTGATGTGCTTCAAATATTTCACACAAATGTATAAAAATCCCTAAAAATGTATAGATACAATACATTTTTGACGAAATAAATCTATAATATAAGACTGGTAATCCTCGATACACTGTTAAATAAATGCAGACGAATTTATTATGCGAACCTTCATTCTTCTGTAAAGGAAATATAATAGCAGCAAAACGCCGTTACTTTCGGAGATCTTGCACACGATAGGTCAGCCGTAGGGTTCACGAAATATCCGTATTTCTGGGCCTAATGTCTGTAATAACACGCGCTAGTAACTGTAAATTTCGCGAATCTATAATTGCACGGCTCGCATCGCGTTTATGTGGAATTGGAAACGAGGAGGGAGGGGAAGGAGAGTTATAAATGATCCTGGTTAATGACGATCGCAGGATTATTAAGCGGTCAACGACGCTTCCTTCCTCGATGTTCCGTTAATCGTGAATTTGTTCGCGTTACTTACACGAGATTCACCCGTGTCTTTTTTTTTTTTAAATCTTCATCGTCGATATCGCATTGAATCGAAACTAGTTTCCTATGCAACCAGTGCGATAAGTCTTAATAACTTCCTCCTATTTAGATGGAATTTCTAAACGCGATTGAATATGTATGTATACACAGGCTCACGAAAGTGTTTTGTACGTTTTCTGAATATCTCGGTACGTATAGAGTGTGGATGTTTGTGCAATTTTTTATCTTTAGAAACAGAGCTGGAAAAAGTGAAAACTTACATGGAAATTTCTTCCTACGAGATACTAATTGTTAGTTTAATTGTTCTTTATATTCTTGTATATGAATTTTCTAAATCAATTATTGATTAGTTAGATGTACGCGTTGTACGAAATATAAAGTATATATATATAAAGTATTTGAAGATGCAAAAAAAAAAAAATATAATACGCAAAGTATCAAAAATATAATAATTTTTATGTTTAGTAAGTGAAACAAATCTTAAGTTTCCATCTCTGCATGTTGTGTTCATAAAGACTTGAATTTTCATAAACTTCCGCAGTCTGTTTATTACTTATTGCGATCACCAGACTGTGAATTTTCACGTATTTACAAGAAATATGATAGAGTACGCAAAAGCATATAAAATATTCAAAAAGTGATGCACTTATTACAGTACGTAATAAATGAAACAAATTTCTGTGATAAATCTAAAACATAAATTCAAATTCTAAAA